ATTTTCCTTGTATATTGAACACCTCTTTTCTTTTAAAGTGCTAAAGGGCATCTTATATAAGTACCAGCACATTTACAGATGCCAGTATTCACCAACATGCAATCCTCCTTGCTGACTAGCAGCACTGAATTCTACCCTGAGAGCAGAAAACCTGGTAAAACACAGTGAATCAACATTCATTTATTTCTGTGAACTAAAAGACTAAGGAACCCTGACAGAAAGAAAGAGGACTTAAAAATGAAAGCAGTAATAAATAAGAGCAAAGATAAATCTAGCAGTATCCCATTACAATAAACCAATTTGCAGACCAGTGATGAAAAATAGCCAAAGATGGAACATGCACGACCCTTACATTCATTCTGAGGCCTGTCAGTAAGAAAGGGGGAAATTTTTCATTATTTTGTCATTTGCTCTTTCTTGTAAAAGATGAGCTGTTAGATACTGATTGCAGATATATTTGTATCAAAAGTACCCTGAAGAGAATATTAACAATGACCTCCATATGCACCCACATACAAGGACAAACTTTTAAACATTTTTGGGCAGCCATAGCAAATGTTGGGAAAAGAAATGGAAAAGGAATGAAGCATAAAGGTGCACTTCAACAGCCATCGGATTTTGAACATGAGGACTGTGTTTGCCAGCCTACATGACTCACATACCAGGATCAACATACCCCATTTCTCCAGCACCTTAGAAAATCAATTAAATGCAACCTCAAAGACTTGAGAAAGGGTCTAAATGATTATCACTTCATCCAGAATTATTCAGCTGGGCATTAACCTACACATAGTGACTTCTTTAGTTACTTAGGGTATTTATAGACATCTAAAAGTCCAGGAGAAAACAATAAAGATAAAAGATAAGAAAAAGTAAGGCAATAATGCAAAGTATTATTAAAAAATCTTTCATCTTGGTGAATGAAACAGAAATAAGATTCCCTCAGTTTTGCAATTCAGCATCAAAATACACATGTTACAAAATTTCATGAGAGAATAGTGGAAGACGAGGAAAATGGAATCATCCATGAAATGATGACAGTGTAAAGAAGGCAGATAAAAGGTTAGAGAAAACAAAAACCAAACTAGAAAAAATCTGATAGGATGATGAGCCCATAAGGATGAGGGAGAGCTGGTAACTGGCACAAATGAGGTAGAGGAAAATATTTATAAAACCCTGTGTATTGTAGAGTAATATTCAAGTTTAAAATAGAATAGCAAAGAAAATAACTACCTCAAAGACCTACCTTTATTTAAAACCAGAATATAAATAAATTTGCATTATTGGTATTGCAGAAGAGAAAAGTGAGGCTTTTACAAGGTTTTTAATGTGCACATTCATTTATTTATTTAACAAAATCAAAAAACAAGGAGTAACTCAAATCTTCTTTAGTAGCAGCTTGGATGGTTCAGATGCCTAAAGTGGAGGGAAATTGGACCAGCTGCTCTCCACAGGAGCTGATTTTATTAATAAATATTGACACAGAGATTCTTGCCAATATGTTTGACAAATAAAGACAAGTGAGTATATCAGCATTATGCACAGCTGGATAAGGATTTGTAGTTTGCTGACTTTCTGTGGAGTACAGTAAGAAGACCTTTTTGCAACACACAATTTTCAGGGGGAAAAAAAGGCTTTTGGGTTATTTTAGGCTCTGTATGCATGTCTACAAATCCTGCACTGAGAAGAGGATGATAAGCTGCTTTTTATTGAAATGCATGTTGGTATACATATAGATGTAGTAAACACAAATGCATTCTTGCCTAAAACAAAAAAAAAAATCTCTTGACTGAGCAGAATGGGAAGTGTAGTATGTGAATTGCAGAGAATAATATCACTGAGGATTTTAATTTCTGCCGCACTTAAACCTTGCAGAATTTATCTTTTGAAGAGTGAAATTATTTTAAGTAGATTTAAGTTAATAAAAAGTACCTGGAAGAATGCTCTCTGTTCCCATCTGAACCACTGCAACTCTTACTGAAGTAAAATCTTAGATCTTACCACATGAGGAACAATGGTTACTTGGATCAGACCAAGATCACGGTTTTAGGCAAATAGTTGGTAGTTTTTGTGCAACATCCCTGTTCTTGAAAGCAACAACATCTGTGTTAGATCTTGGCTCTGATTCAACTCCCATTTTACTGCAGGTCTCCTCATCACTCGTACTGCCACAGTGGCAGGTCACCGAATCTGCCTGTAAACCAGGCAGTACCCAACCCCAAAACTTGTTGTTTGAGAGTAATCACATCATGATTTATTCTCAAACAACACCTGAGACTGTCCTCCAGCAGCACCCCAGGAAGCCCTCTGGCCTGTAGAATTCCTTGCTGTTAGCCAGCACACAGTTAGTGTGGCAGGATTTTTCAGAAAAGAAGTAAGAATGGTAACCAGATCAATTTTGAAATCTACATGACTTACCAATAAAAATATTTATACCACAAAACACCAGTAAACCATTCTTTTTAAAGTCATGTTAGGTAGTAATCCAAAGAATGTGAAACTCTTCTGTGTCTCCAGATAATTAATGTGGCTGATATTTTGAGAATGAATAATACGATGTTTTGGAAACATGTCTTTCCAACAATAAATAAGGATGTTCTTTCCTAACTTTCCCATGCATGAGAAAGAGGAATGGACACCATTAATTTGCTTTACTATTCCTGACTGATACCCCATACCCCTACCAGTGAAACAACAAAAGTATAATCTATTGGCTTAATGACTTGTTAGCGAAAATTACGACTTTATTTTATTTTTTTTGTAATAATTTATTCCGTGACACAGATGTTCATTAATATCTGCTTCTGCCAAGTGATGGTTAGAAGAACAATAATAGGTTTTATGATCTGACGTTTCACTGTGAATATTCCAGCCACGAGAATTTTAGTCAGAGCTAGAAAGTACTTTTGACAAAATCAGTGCATCCACATAAAACTTTCTAAATTCTGTTAAAATGACATCTGACATTACCAAAATGTGCTGCTTTCCTTGAAACAGTTGCACAGGCCAGGTTCTTTGAGAGCAGAGCTCTGCCACTGCACATCTCTCATTCAATATCTGTGTGCAGGAGCCTGGAGGCTCTCTGCTCTGCATGCAGTGCACAAAAACCCCTGTCAAGCTGAAGGGTGAGGGGTGTCTGCTCATTTAGAGCAGAGCAACACGATCTGGTGCAATAGGATCACCACGCTGATTTTGCCATCTTATTGCAAAGGTTTTGTACCTTCTTGGTGATTGCTTGCGGGTAGCTCTTCACAGCACTGACTACCTCTCAGCACAGCCAACAAACTCCGTTCAACCTTCTCAGCTAGCTAACCTAGTCTTTTACAATACCTATCTTAATTGGATCCAGTTGTGGCTTATTGAGGGCAGGCTTGTGCCTAATACTTGATAATTAGCACAGCTGTAACTCCTTAGGCGTGAGATTACCTTCACCACTCTCTCTATTCTCCTACATTCTATCTATCAGCACACTGGGATGCCAGAGCTGTGTCCAGATGTAGTGCTTGGCTGTGGAAGCAGCACCCTGGTGACCACAGGGGTGAGGCAGCCAAGCAGAGTGACTTGAGCCCAGCGCTGCACACACTCAGTGAGCAAGAGCCCCTCGCAGTGCTGTGATCCACCAGAGCCCGCGCTGGAAATAGGGCATGGAGAGCAAAGCTGAAGCAGATAACAGCTGGAAAACCTAACCCAGTAGCCTGTCCTTCCTGTTTCAAAGGAGAATCCCAGATTTAATGTGTCACAAAAGTTTTGTCAAAAAAGTTAGCAGGTATTGCAGGATTTTATAAAGAAAGTATTATTATCTTTCCGGGGCTAGGCTGTCCAAAGTTGCTCTGTGGGTCATTAATTCAGTGGAAGAACTCAGAAAATGCAGAAATATGATCATACCAGCACTGAGAATTTACAGAAATTTCACTGAGTTTTTTTAAAGCAAAGCTTTACAGCCATGAGTTCATTCACAGTCAAGGGTATTCAGAAAAATTAAGGTCTTTGCAAGGTGAGGCCTTTTCTGTCACAGACCATCCCAATCCTTCTGGACTGAGGTCTTGCTCCCACTTGCACAAAGATGCTCTGGCTGCTGCACTAGCTCACCCAAAGTTTCTATATGCTTCCACCACACTTTCAAGTTGAAGTTTAATGTCAACTTGAAATGAAAACACAGATTTGACAGAAAACAGATTAGGTCACTGCACCAAGTGAAGCCAGTTAAGCTTTCTACCAGGTATTTTCTACAAATTCTGGAGCCTGTTTTCTGTTACACACATAAGCACAGAAACTTCACAACTCTGTCTGGAGAACATTTAGTTCTTTTATGAGATTCTGGTTTTCCATTTAGTTAATCCAGCTTCATCTATCCTTTTTTACTGCTGTAGTCTGAGACATTGCAAATACCTGAGAAGATGGGGCTAGCAAAGGCAGTATCATCTTTAGCAATGGAATAGTAGACATAAGTTTCTGTAATTTTCTTTTTCTTTTCCAGTGAGTAAATGTTTGTGATTCTCTGCTTTTCAGTGAGGATTTCTTTTGCCTTTCATTTTAGAAATGTTCCCTTACTTCATTTTAAATCATATTCACAGCCCTGAAAGCTTCAGTTAAATAGTTGTGCTCATCTGAAGCATTCTCTTTGATCAATGACAATGATGAAATTACAGAAAACCCTTTGCAAATTGTCATTGCATGTGAAATCATTATTTCTACAATATTAATGCAGAGCAGCAGATCCCCTCACTTCCATCCCCTGCTCAGCAATATTGTTCCTAAGATAAAAGGTGTGAAGCATTTGTTTTACCATTCTTTTGAGTTACATTAAGAGGAGGTAATAAAAAAATAAATGTCATTTTCATGATCTTGTTCTACATTCCAAGAAAGAAACCTAGAAAATTCCTCAGCCTAGGCTATATACAAATAAATAATATACACAAGATATATGAGAAACACCAGAAACAAGCCAGAGCTGCATTATCTCAGAACATTTTTATTAACATAATGTACAAACACTGCTCTTTCCCATCATGATCTCACATCATTCCAGTATTATAAAGCAACACATAAAAATGACTATCAGAAGGAAACATTGCGGTAAATAAAACCTTTTTGGAATGACATCCTACCTACTCTACCAGCCTTCTTTCTCCAGGTTTGGTGTGCTATGTGTGGCATGTAAGCAGAGGAATCTCTTTTTTCAGTGCTGTTCTGGGAGGGGTGTCAGGAGGTGATAAATCTGTGCAGGGTCAGAGCAGGAGGCAGATCTCTGGTACACATCAAGGTAGGGAGAGGGTGCACAGCTGGTTCTGGGAGTCAGCATCTTCCTCCTCCAGACAGTGCCACATCTCTGTGACACTGCAGCTCCTGGAGTGGGTCAACAAGGAGAGAAAAGACATCACTCATTTTTTTGATGGTGTCTTTTCATCATCCCTCAGGGCTGCTATGCTTTCCCTCAAGAATGTGCACAGACAGAAGGGATGACTAGCACCATGTGGATGCCACCTTAGCCCATCCTTGTTCTTGCTGAGGAGGGCACCCCTTGGAACAAAACCCACTGCACATGAAAGGACTCCAAGGTTTGAGCATGGTAACTACACGTGACGTCTGGGTGAAGACTTTGATTACATGGGCACAACAAGGATCAACAGATACTGACATCACCTCTGCTCAAAATGAAGTAATTGCTTGGTCCAATTATTGCTGAGGCTTAGAAGAAAGACTTTTCATTATGCATTTAATCCATTTCATCCATTGTATGCATTCACAGGCAGGTAAAACAACAAAATTAGTTAACCAAACATCAGAAGGACTCAGTTTTTCCCCAAGAGAAATAGTCATCACTCATACAAATGTTACAGTCAAGGAGACTATGATTTGGTTTCAAAAGTGGTCTTGAGCTATGAGCAAACTGTTTCAATTAAATTTTCCAAGCAGATGATAAAGCTAAAGCAAAACATATAAGGTTATGTGATACATACAACACAATATAAAGCTGTGGCACTGCAGAAGAAACATTTATAAATGTTTTCTGAAATATTTTATATGAGCTGATGTTACACTAAGGATTAAACAAATCCTTAAGATTTCACCATAGAAAAGTTTATGGAGTCATCTGACTGAGAAGCTGTGCAAGAGCAAGTAATGGTCACCAACTGGGAAACAGAGGTAGATAATTAACGAAAATAATTCCTTGAGTTTTATGTCATCATTCATTAGAAATTAAGTCTACTTAAGATGACTAAACCAGAAAATACTTTTTTACTCTCAGCAGTAGAGTGTCCTGTAAATTGTAATGATACTATAGCCTGGTTTTGAGTAGTTTTGAGCTGAATTTTTTTCTTGCGCAAGAAATCCCCAAACCTTTCAATAGAGAATGTAGAGGAGAGGGTTGTTCAGCCAAATATGGTGCACAAACACTAAGAGAAGATTTTGTAATGTGGAAAAGAAGGTGTAACTACCAGGTCAGCAAGAAGATAATATAAAGATTATATTATCTTTATATTGTTTAGCCAGAGACTCACCATAAAAGGAATTGATCTAGCAAGTATCTAATACAGATCCAGATTTGATTCCAGTTCAGCAAAGCATCAAATTAATTCTTATATTTAAACACATGCTTTAAGACTTTGCTGGGCTTTGGCATTTTTCCCCAAGAGAAATAGATAGTCATCACTCATACAAATGTTACAGTCAAGGAGACTATGATTTGGTTTCAAAAGTGGTCTTGAGCTATGAGCAAACTGTTTCAATTAAATTTTCCAAGCAGATGATAAAGCTAAAGCAAAACATATAAGGTTATGTGATACATACAACACAATATAAAGCTGTGGCACTGCAGAAGAAACATTTATAAATGTTTTCTGAAATATTTTATATGAGCTGATGTTACACTAAGGATTAAACAAATCCTTAAGATTTCACCATAGAAAAGTTTATGGAGTCATCTGACTGAGAAGCTGTGCAAGAGCAAGTAATGGTCACCAACTGGGAAACAGAGGTAGATAATTAACGAAAATAATTCCTTGAGTTTTATGTCATCATTCATTAGAAATTAAGTCTACTTAAGATGACTAAACCAGAAAATACTTTTTTACTCTCAGCAGTAGAGTGTCCTGTAAATTGTAATGATACTATAGCCTGGTTTTGAGTAGTTTTGAGCTGAATTTTTTTCTTGCGCAAGAAATCCCCAAACCTTTCAATAGAGAATGTAGAGGAGAGGGTTGTTCAGCCAAATATGGTGCACAAACACTAAGAGAAGATTTTGTAATGTGGAAAAGAAGGTGTAACTACCAGGTCAGCAAGAAGATAATATAAAGATTATATTATCTTTATATTGTTTAGCCAGAGACTCACCATAAAAGGAATTGATCTAGCAAGTATCTAATACAGATCCAGATTTGATTCCAGTTCAGCAAAGCATCAAATTAATTCTTATATTTAAACACATGCTTTAAGACTTTGCTGGGCTTTGGCTATTTGGATTCATATTTTGTCCTGCCACATCTAGTTTTGCAAATGTGCTGACACCTATGCCACATCTTTTCCAAACTAAGCCAAAGATAGGTTTGAAATAAGCAGATTTGGTTTTATGTTTAGTAGCCACAGAGGTAGCTTTGTAGTCAGCTCTATGTTTGGATGTAAGTATCATCAATAGGCAGAAAAAAAAGAGGGAGGATGAAGATATTTTGCAAGAGGAATCATTAAGACACATGACTATTTTTGGAAACAGACATAACATTACTCTACTCTGTTCCATTCGGCCCTGAAGCAGAGATAATTCTTAAAATTTGCTGGGTCTAAGTATACCTATTTATTATACTGCTCTATAATTCATCAAAAATCATTATAGAAAAGATTTCCAATACTTGATGTGAATTGTCTCATATAAAACATCTGGTTAGTTCTGTTTGTAATAAACAAAAATCTCCATCTTCAAATAACCCTGGTTTGTTTTGTGTCAGTTGCTTATGCCTTGTATGTACCCTGAGCAGTTCCTGAAAGTAAAACCGTAAAACCTCTCCTTAATTTCTGTATCACCTGCCTAGTTTTCGCAGCAAGATTTCTGTTATAATCCACTTTCAATCCAACCACCAAACTAACCTCCTTACAGCTAACCTTTACCTCTGGTCTAGCCCTCTTTTACAAGACAACATGCAGTGGTATTCTTTTGGTTTACAGACATGCAGAGTTAAGTCTTCTGAGGCTTTCTGAAACAACTATTTGCATTAAAATACAGTAAAATGAAAAATTACAGAACTGGGACTAATAACATCATTTGGACCAGTTGTGCCACCGTGTGCTACCCAAAGGAATCAAGCATTCATTACCTTTAAACAAATTATTGAAGCTCAGTACATCCAGAAGTTATAAAAGAAATTAGAGTACTTGCTGTATATAAAGACTGCTGTAACCTTTATTTGACTGCAGCCAGTACATTTGATGACAGCATTCGGATTGCTTCTGAGTTTGAACAGAATCAACAGGAAAGGACTGTCGCCTGTAATGCTCTGAAGAACTCTTCTGAGGAGGGAAGAAATAACAAATAATTAAGAACTTGGAGATTTCAGCAGCCACAAGCAAAAGGACATGCTAAGGAGGTAATTTTGCCATAAAACAATCTGCCTGGAGTTGCTGCCAGTTTAACAGCTGTGACTGAGCATCTCTGCAGCAGAGATGCTTTGCATGGGGCACTGAATTCAACATCTGCATGTCTGCAGGAACATCCAGCCTCTGCAGCACAGGGAGCAGAGCCCAGTGCCCAGCAAAGCATGCTCTGGAGCAAGGCTACTGTCTTCTGCTAAAAACAAGGAACAGCTGAGGTGAAACCCCTTGCAACATCAGTGAAGAAGACACAATGTTCCAGAAAGAGGGTAGCAACCAAACAGAGTTAGAGCAGTGAGAGTTTGGTCCCCTACTCATCATGAGGGAGAGCTTTCCTCCCCTCTTTCCTCACTTGGTTTGCTTTAATCTCTGTCATCACAACTGTACAGTGAAGGCTCAACCTTTTAACAGCAGTCATTACCTAGGAGCTGCTCTCTTCCTCACACAGGATTTCAAAATGAGGCTATGTAAGGCCTGGCAAAGCCTGGCTCCCAACAGGAGTGAAAAAAATTCAGAAAACATTCTGAAAAATTAAAATCCAATTACTTTCTCAGTATCTGAAGGCTTCTTTATTGTAGAGCTCCAGCGTATGACTCAGCAACACAAGCAGATAATAGGGATCAATCATCACTGTAACCGAAGTGTTGAGGCAAGGTATTTGAAGCATCTTCCTGAGTCATACAGATGAGGACCAATCCTACTTTATTCTCAAAGTGCCATCACGGGCTGCTCCCTAAAGAGTACAAAGCAAGCTGACGTCAGAAAAGCCTGATGACTGAAACTCCTTAAACGCCATTATTGTCTCAACAAATCTTTTGCTTTAATAAAAAATGTTGAACTTCGCATTCAGTAGTGTAAAAGTCAGCTTGAATACTGAATAAAAGTCAAACTTGTTGACGTGGTCATACTTCTAAATAGATGTAGGGATGTGTGTGTCTTGGAGAAAAAAAAAAAAAAACAGGGCACATGTCTCTGGAAGGGGTCCATGCCTTAGCAGAAATTGTCATGACACCTTTAGAGTTCAGACAGAAATTATAAGAATTCAAATTCAGTTAAAAGGTAAGTGTGCCAATACTCTTTCCAATCCAAATTTTTCCTGATCAAAATATGAAAATAATTTTTTAAGTATGAACTAAAATCTGTTAATTTTGATCACAGGGGTTTGAATGGCTTATCTTTTTTCCAGCAGATAATTTATTTTATAAATATGTCTTTTAGAAAACCAGTAACTTCATTATGATGCGGTTCATCTTGCAGGCTGACAGCTATAATGGACTCAAATATCATATTAGAAGGAAAACACTTGTGAACTCCTAGCTATAAGTAATTTCTCTGTATCTTCAAATTCTATTAGAGCAATGAAAAGGTTACTCTGTTTAGTCTGGAAATATTGCACCCAAAGGAGAAATTTAAGCAGGAAGAATAAAACCACTGGGGTACAGTGTTCTTTGCACAAAGTATTCTAAACAAAGTATTCTTAAAAGCAGGTGATATATTATGGTGAGCAGAACAGTATGCAATAGTAATGTGTCTTTATGACAAGTAAGTTTGTAGGGCAAAAATATCAATCAGACTGTGTGGGATGAAGTAAACACTGAGCAAAATGACTACAGGGACTTCTGCATTAATTTGATAAAGTAGGAAACTTCTGTTAAGTTACTCTCAAAAAGCAGCAGGAAAAGTGCCATTAAGCACCTGCTTTCTGTGTTGATCCTGAATGACGTGCAGAGGGCCAAAGCAGATGCATTAGTGCATCATATGCCAGGCAGTGGTAGAGCCTGTGTGAGCCTGCAGAGCAGCAGTTCCCATGGCCAAGCACTTTCCTCTCCTGTCAGGCTGCACAAGAAGGGCAGGTAAAGCAGGTGAGACATCTGCTGACACAGACACAGTGACATATAAAGCAAGATTAGCAGGTGTCTAAAGAAACCTCAGAGAAAATGGGGGGAAAAGAATTATTCTTCCTTCTATGGGAAGAACTTCCCTGCACAGATCAACTGGGAATGAACCAGTTGGCAGGCAGCAACAGGTCATCATATTTGCTTCTCTCCATAGGCAGAGATCAGACGCTCTCAGGGAGCAAATGAAAAGCAGTTTTATTCCACAGACTCTCAGTGGCACAGTCATACGAGAAATTTTTTTGTTAAACCAAGTTTCTTCACATTCAGTCATTGAGGCAGTAATGGCCAAACTCTGGTGAAGGTAGTTACTGAACTGTTAAAACATTTTGCTACCTGTATATTCCTACATCCAATATTATTTTAAGATAACACTTCTTGCTCTTAATTACTTAGATAGAATTCACTACTAATTTTTATATATTGAATAAATTTCAATATTTTTATATTACTACTCACTAATAAGAATGGGCTTTGAACCCATTCAAAGAAGTTGATCAGAATTAATCTTTAGAATAGCTAATTAAACTAAACCAAATCATTTTATGGGAGAATGTTCTTTGAATATGAAATAAGGTAAACTGAATTAATTTGGCTTTTGCATTAGAAATAGAATGTAGTAATTTCATTTCTCTATGGCATACATACATAGTGCAGTCAGATCCACTAAATATTCTCACTGTTACTTAGAACAGGAAAACTTTCCTAATTTGCCACTCAGTGCTAGGTCCAGAAAACCTACTCCCTGTGCCATCAATCACCAAAAAGCTGTGTAGTAGTGAGCAGTCAACACACAGGCAGTTTGATGATATATCACCTCTACTTTTTAAAAGGCAGTAAGTAGTACTAAAAAGTAAAAAGTTCTCTTTCCATTCACATGATTTGTCTAAAAAATATGAGAAGGGTCATATTGTGCAGCAAAATTATTGTACCTTGCAGCACTGAGCAATGGAAGGCATTTAAAAGAGTATATTCTCTCTTCCCTGAAATATATACCCTTTATTCTGACCTTTAAACTGAAGAAATGGGAATATTTATTAGAGACTGTAATTTACATCTTTTCAGGGTATCACAAGAGTGCTGTCTGCACCCTTATTTGTGATTAGGCTGAGTTTCATCATCCCTCTTTTTCCTGGTTGTGGTGATAGGGGCAGGTGCAGTCACATTCAGAGCCCTTACTCCTGTGGTCAGTGAGGTAACTAATTTCTTTTGTAGTGGCTCAGGTGCTTTTCCTGAGCCTTTGATACTGAATGCAAATTGAATCCTTCAGAAACTGCCTTTCTCTGCTGTAGAGGCTTAGATTTTTTGTGACTACACAAGGCACCAAATACTGCCTGCACACAGTTATTCTGTAAGATAACTCAAAATTTAAGCCTTACTTACTTTGATAAGCACTAGCCCACTAATTCCATTCAATCTAACTACTTAGATTACTTAAATTTAAAACCATGACTAATTTTTGCTATCTATATGTCAGCCATTATGGCTGATTCCTTGTCTAATTATAGAGAGAAACCTTACCTCACCCCACACAGTACTTAGAAATTGCAAAATTCATACTTGTGACTACTAATAGTTGAAAAATTGAAACCATATATCCAACTGACTTTTTTGTTAAGCTGGGCCAAGCTATTTGTAGTGAATACAAATAATGAGGTTGGTGTTTTCCCTTTTCTTATTGATTTATTATATAAGTGGGCCCTTATAAGAAGATAAGCTATCATCCTTTGAGTGTCAGAAATAAAACAGTAAATAGTCAAATGACATACTGTCTCTCCTCATCAATTCTCTGACTCACCTGCATCCATGCTCAGATCAAATAGAACTCCAATTTGTATTCTAAATTTTGTATCCAGTGGGACTGTGCTCACAGAATGGCCACTTGACCTTTCCATTGTGAATGTCAGAGCAAACCATATCTCTTAAAGGTAAAAATATCCAGGAGCTCTGCTAGACCACTGAGCATTCATAGTAGTACACATAAACCTCAGACTGTTTCTGAGGTTTAATAAGCCTTAGAGACTTATTTAAAATACCATGGCAGAAAGAAACCATTATGGACTTTAGAAGGCTCTTATGAATGTATGGGATCGCAACTAATATTTTTTAAAATTTTTGTTTGTTTGCTTGTTGTTTATTTTTAGTGTTTTGAGTCTAAGGTTAATTATAGTAACCCTTTCTGCAATATGGAGACTGAACAAGTCCTCCAGTGGTGATGATGCCTGCAGGCAGGGATATCCAGATCTTCACCCCTGCCTAGATGTAATAGTGAATAAATCTAGTGGAAAGGTGCTCATTCTCTTGGGGCACAGTTTAACAAGTTCTTCATATCAACAAATTCATCCAAACCTCCACCTGCCACATCCCAGCTTGTGCTCCTCTTCAGAACCAACCATGAAGGGCACTGTGCTCACTGTGGGGAGCAGGCTGTCAGTGCTCACTTCATGCTCTTAACTGGAAGCTGCTCTAAGCCCATGGTACACCCCAGCTAAAGAGCTTTGGGGTAGTATTCAATTGATTTCATATATCAATTAATGTGTCCTTTTAAATGTTCAGATGCAATTTGCTTCCTTTGTCCTCAGTTTTCCAGAGCTGCAGAAAATGTTTGGAGCTGGCTTTAAAGTCCCAAAAACAAATGAGTGGTAGAGGATTTTGCACATCTTGTGGCCTTTCCTGAAATTTCCACGGTTCTTGGTAAGCTCAGAAATTTTCAGCAAGCTCTTTGTTCAAACCAGAGCTGGCCTTTCTGGTTTTTTTTAGGCAGTGCTTAGCACTGTGAAGATGGGGGTAGCTGGGAGAGTTCTGCTGTTAGATTGCAGACAATGCAGAACAATTATTAATGGTGCTGTTGGAGTAATTGTCGACATTTCAGCCTCATGGATCGATCTAAATTACCATCTGACCTATGTAATAGTCTACAGTACCTAGTAGAAGTGAAGAAGGATTTCTAGCAAATTGTCTGACTTCTGACTGTGCTCTACTCCACTAAAGCATCTTAGAGCAGCTTGTCCTCGTAGCTGTAGCTGAAATAAAAATTATCCTCTTTTTATTCTTTATTTTTCTCTCAAGAAGCCCTCAAGTCATAAATTTTTTGAGATGGATCAAACATGCATTACCAACTACTCAAATTTATTTCACTTGTGAAAATACGTAAAAATATATATCTAAAATTTTAAGGCTTCCATTTCCTCATATATTTTCCTTTTTTTCAGGTGAAGGATTACACCTTGATACCTATGAAGAGTCTCTACAATTAGGAGACAAGTCCTTCTCCTAGAAATAACAAGTCATGAGCACAAGGAAGGTGGGTACTTCATAATTTCAATATATGTTTCAGCTAATGCACTCTGAGAAACCTTTCAGTCTAACAAAATTAGGGCCTAGAGAGGGTCAGAAAAAGACAAATGGTCTACAATATCCCTTATTTTACTGCATCTTATTTTACTTATGTTGGGGCCATTTCCAATGCTGGGAGCATTACGTTTGCAGCAGTTTCTTGCAGGAACTAGGAAACAGCACAATACTTTAATATCTTGAGAAAATTAAAGACAGAAACCCTCACTCCTCTAAAGCATTTTCTCAAAAGGGAGGTATATATAGCCACAGTTTGATTACAGCCTCTGCAGGTTTCTCATGCAGGTTTTTTCAACCACCAGACTGGTTAGAGAGAGTATATTCTGTCTTCTATTTTGTTCTGTTGTTCTTTTTTTACCTGTCTTTATTTTACTTCACTTTTACATCAAATGGTTTGTATCTCCAGTTGGAGTTGCTGATCCTTTACTCATGAGGAGGATGTTAGACTGAGCTTCCCAGAAATGTCATCACAATCTATAAGTAGGGGAATTCCAGATGCAGCAGTGTCTGTGGTGCAGCTGGCAGTAAGAGGATTGAGCTTAACCAATGCCTTTATTGCATTCCCTGCCCCAGGCTGGACCTTCCAGAGCTTCATGGTCTCCTTCAGCTGACCCCCAAAGGTTGAGTGCCTGTGCAGAAATATGTGCTTACAGCTCCTGGCCTCAGGCATGATCTTCCCAAGCCTTTGTGGTTGCTTTACACCCTCTTAGGGAAATAGAGCTGCCTATCCTAGAGCTGGTTTTACCCTGCTGGGTTGGTATGCACCCACTAACCCAGCTGGCTCCATCCTCGCCTGAGAAAATCTAGTGGAGAAAGGAAAGCTGCATAGTCAGGCTCTGGAGAATCTAGAGCACCTGAACCTCCAACATGGGATGAAGGCACAGAGCCTCTTTTCTTCTGCCTTAAGATTTCATCAGCCTGGCTTGGTGCCTAGAGCTTTTGTGGTCTTTGCCAGCACAAAGTCCTCACGGAAAAGTAGAAGAGAGGTGTGGGGACAATGTATTTTTTAAAAAATGTCCCGTAGTTTCAGGATTTGGGCTAGCATTAAACAAAATATAGGACTAAATATTAATCTAAATATTATTAATACAGTTTGGCATTTTCCTCAGAAAGCCTATGTAGCAGCAGAGGTAGGTAAGTGTGGTAGCCACAGTGGCTCCAGGAGGCAACAGCTGACAAATTCTGACAACAGCTCACGATGACCGGCAGGTAATTTTCTCCAGGCAACAACTGACAGAACCAGAGGACACAGTCTCAAGCTTCACCAAGGGAAATATAGGTTGGATATTAGGAAAAGGTTTTTTACAGAAAGGGTGATAAAGTACTGGAATGGTCTGCCCAGGGAGGTGGTGGAGTCACCATCCCCGGATGTGTTTAAACAAAGACTGGGTGTGGCACTCGGTGCCATGGTTTAGTTGAGGTGTTAGGGCTGGGTTGGACTTGATGGTCTTGGAGGCCTCTTCCAACCTCGTGATTCTGTGTGATTTTCATATCAAGCTGCAAACAGACTGAAGTATCCTAATTAATAGCCTTGTGGACCTTAGCACAAAGCACAATGGTAATCCTTCTCAGGCACTAAAATATTCCCATTCATTATAAACAACTAAGTGAAAAAATACCCCAAACACTTTTATTTCTATCCTATTTATGTTGTTTTTTTTTTTTTTCCAAAATCCCAATCCCAAATTGGTGGGATTATTGTTCTTATGTGATTTTAAGGCTAGGATTTTAAGATTCACTCAGAGACTGACAGACACCTTGGTGCTTAGGTCACTCCTAGTGCACTTCATTAGTTGTTCCCTTGCTACACCCTTTATGTGGTTTTACTATAATAAACCCACAATCAGTTAGGTTATACTCCCAGTGATCTGCAGGGACAGGATGATTTGAGGCTTTAGGAACACCTAGGTCCTCATTTTTTCCTGTGCCACAGTATTCTGAGCTTCCTGTGATCTTTGGTACTAAAGTACAAATGTTTGCATATACAGAAGTAGAGGTCGGGGAAGTAAAGTACACAGTAGATTGTACTTCTCCTTGGAGGTAAGGACAGAGCAGATGTCTGGGATTTCACATGTTTATTGACTAGCAGAAGACACTTGTATTTAGCCACAGAAATATCACTGTCAGGATCCTTTCTGCTTTCATGTTTCTACTATATTGTCTTGTTATGTGTTTGCATCTGATTGTATCTTGGCATCTGTATCCCTCCTTTATAAGGACCACAGTCTGAAAAGGAAAGTTATGCAAGAGTTTCTGGTGCACAGGATGATGAGCAGTTTGCATATTCATCTAGCAAAAATAAGGGTTTCAGTTTTATTTTCATCCTCTACAACTAACTCCACTAATCAGATTTGACTAAGAGCCTTCAAAGAGCTACAAAACGCTGTCTTAACTGCAAAGTACTGTCTCCAGACACTCTTTGGGCTGTCAAGAGATCTGAAAGTTCTTCTGAATCACAAAATTTTGAAGAATTTTTTTCCACCTTTTACTTTTGAATCATTTTTTATTTCAAACCAGAACAAGCAAATAGCAGAAGATAGTGCAGAAGAAGGATTTTAGAATGGGGGCTGAAAAATCAGTAACCTTGAAGTTCAATGCCTTTGAAGTAGTACTAAATAGGAGTAGTTCATGCCAGTATCCAAAAAATCACAGTTGTTTAACTCTTTATTCTATTTTTATTAGCAAAATTAAGAATACAGGCTGCCAAGGAACATGCATGCAAAACTGTGCTGCGAAATACTGTTTCTAATTTTTGTCCCATCTCAATTTCCCTTAATTTCTCTTTTAAAATTTGAAATGATGCTATTGTTTCACGGCAGCTGTAATCTTCTCATGTGGCATTTTTTTTTCCTTTATTTTCCAAAGGAAGCACATAAATTTCTAGTTTTCTACTTTTTTTCCCCCTTTTTAGTTCATCAATATTTTGAAGAAAATACATTTTTTACAGCCAGTATTTTCAAAGTAAGCTTGGACTGATAGATGTGTGAATTCAGAGCAAGTATTTAAGGACTATTGACAACCCCAAGGTAAGTGTCAAATCAGATGAAACACTAATTATTTGATTTCTGTGGCAAAGTGTATATTTATATACTCACATGTATATACATATATATACACATATATACACATATACATATATATATACACACACATATACATATATATATATATTAAAACATACATAATTTAAGACACCTTGGACTTTTAATCACAGGTGGCACAGGTGAGAAAAAAACTACAATGGATGGATAGCTACCCTAGATTTACAAGATTTTATTCCTAGTACAAAAAAATATATGCAGAATTATGCAAAACCAGACCTTACAAAATTATTATTGTGCCTCTTAAAATTTTATTTCGAGGGACTTATTACTGAAGGTAGCATCTTTATTCTTTCATCAATATCATATAGTCTTTATAAAGCCTCAGCTGTTGAATAAAGAGAGTCTGGTGACCTAAGCTTTCACAGCATTCAGGAAAGATTACCAGTTCTATTTTGTGAACATCATAGTATTCCAA